TCCTATAATGTGAATCCGCAGTAAAGAGTTTTTAAATTGCACTTGGATCGCTGTTCGTGGATTCTTTCATTTTTGAGGCATTTTAAAAGGTAGAACAAGGTGTGCAAAGCGTCAACTATGGCTTCACAAATGTTTGGACCTTACAACATGTTTAAGTAACTCTTTTTTTATCACCGTATTTTCCGCACTATAGGAGATACTGATCCTTAGCCCAGGCGTTAGGTCCAAACCAGGCCTAAACCAGGTCCAAAAGGTCCAAACCAGGTCCAAATTAGGTCCAAATTAGGTCCAAACCAGGTCCAAATTAGGTCCAAACCAGGTCCAAATTAGGTCCCAAACCAGGTCCAAATTAGGTCCAAACCAGGTCCAAACCAGGCCCAAACCAGTGTAGAGCTGGGTGATTTTGCTTAAAAATTAAGTTTTAAGATTTTCTGTTTCATTTTTGATTTTTTTTAACCCTCTGCACTATTTTCTGTATTTTTTTGCAAACGACAGAAAATTGTCCAATTGTATCGAGATATGTATCACATCGCCAACTTCTGAATGACGCCGAGCTGTTGTCAAAAGTCTCATGTTGAAAATTAGAGACCAGAGATCAACTGATAAAGACTCATGAAAAACATCATAGGTCCTTTATTACGCAAGATTGACTCATGTGAACTTTTAGTCAAAGTTATGTTGTTTCCTCCTCAAAAACAAACCTGGAGTTGTGTTTAGTTTCATTCACATGTTTAAATAACTCTTTTTTTTTATCACCGCTGTCTCTGTGTCTTGGTGAATGTGTGTTCTCCTTCTCTCGCTCACACTTTCACTTTATAATAGTCTGGAGTTTCAAGTCGGCGTTGTGAGCGTGTCTCTTGACAGGTGCATTTTGATATTAAAAGGAATCACAGTATGTGTTACTCCGCGATGCTCCTGACTGCAGGAGCCGTAATGCTGCAAGTGGAGCGGCTTTGTAGTTTACTAAAGTCGTACTAAGACACGCCAATAAATTCATATATAATCCCAGTCTTGGTTCAGTCTTGGTTCAGTCTAGTTCATATAGTCCTGTTTTGGTTCAGTCCCGGTTCAGTCTCGGTTCAGTCTCAGTTCAGTCTCTCCCTGGTTCAGTTCTGGTTAAGTCCTGGTTCAGTCTCTTCCTGGTTCAGTCTTAGTTCAGTCCTGATTCATTCTCTTTCTAGTTCAGTCTCGTTCTGTTTCAGTTTCTTCCCAGTTCAGTCCTGGTTCAGTCCCGGTTTAGTCTAGACTCTAGTCCATATAGTTCTGGTTTGGTTCTGGTTTGGTTCAGTCTCATTTGTATAATCCTTGTTCAGTCCTGGTTTAGTCTAGACTCTAGTCCATATAGTCCTGGTTTAGTCTAGACTCTAGTCCATATAGTCCTGGTTTAGTCTAGACTCTAGTCCATATAGTCCTGGTTTAGTCTAGACTCTAGTCCATATAGTCCTGGTTTAGTCTAGACTCTAGTCCATATAGTCCTGGTTTAGTCTAGACTCTAGTCCATATAGTCCTGGTTTAGTCTAGACTCTAGTCCATATAGTCCTGGTTCAGTCCCGGTTCAGTCTTGACACTCAAATAAATTCATATATGAAGGCGCTCTGGATTAAAAGGCACGCAGTCGTTTTTTGATCAAATTAAAGACCTACCCTATAGTGCGGAAAACTCAAATTGCTCTGTTCCAAAATTTGTATAAACAGTCTATAGTTTAGTTGTTCATATTTCAAAAGCGAACGCTCCAACAACGTGCACCCTGAACAGAATCCTACTTTTATCACAATTAACTGCAATTAAAAAACTTGCAAAAAATAAATAAATAAAAGATTTAAAGACCAAAATCAGTAAGTTAAAAGTAACTAATGATGAAACTCACAAAACAAAGAGTGGGTGGAGGCGTGTTTGCTGTTATTTTACAATCGTATCTCTTGAGGAGGAGGATTTCAACATGTTTCAAAACCTCAACTTTAAAACTGTGGAGAAATACTGAGCTGGAAAACAGAACCCAGGCAACAGAGTGTTTACAGGAGACGCACTCAGGGAGATTATTTTATAGAAACGCAGACAGAGGTCACAGAGTCTTTATGAAGAGACTGGGTTTGGTGTAAGGAGATTTATAGACCTGGTTCAGTCTCGGTTCAGTCTCTTCCCGGTCCAGTCTTGTCTGTACAATCCCCGTTCAGGCCCGGTTTAGGTCTCAGTTCAGTCTCTTCCCAGTTCAGTCCCAGTTCAGTCTCGGTTCAGTCCAGGTTTAGTCTCTTCCCTGTTCAGTCCCCTCCTGGTTTAGTCCAGGTTCAGTCTCTCCCTGGTCCGGTTCGGTCCCGGTTCAGGTTCAGTCTCTCCCTGGTTCGATCCCGGTTCAGGTTCAGTCTCTCCTTGGTTCGATCCCGGTTCAGTCTCTCCTTGGTTCGGTCCCGGTTCAGTCTCTCCTTGGTTCGGTCCCGGTTCAGTCTCTCCTTGGTTCGGTCCCGGTTCGGTCCCGGTTCGGTCCCGGTTCAGTCCCGGTTCAGTCCCGGTTCAGTCCCGGTTCAGTCCCGGTTCAGTCTCTCCTTGGTTCGGTCCCGGTTCAGTCCCGGTTCAGGTTCAGTCTCTCCTTGGTTCGGTCCCGGTTCGGTCCCGGTTCGGTCCCGGTTCGGTCCCAGTTCGGTCCCAGTTCGGTCCCAGTTCGGTCCCAGTTCAGTCCCGGTTCAGTCTCTCCTTGGTTCGGTCCCGGTTCAGTCTTTCCTTGGTTCGGTCCCAGTTCAGTCCCGGTTCAGTCCCGGTTCAGGTTCAGTCTCTCCCTGGTTCGGCCCCGGTTCAGTCCCAGTTCAGTCTCTCCTTGGTTCAATTCCAGTTCAGTCCTGGTTCAGTCTCTGCCTGGTTCAGTCTCGGTTCAGTCTCGGTTCAGTCCCAGTTCAGTCCCGGTTCAGTCCCAGTTCAGTCTCTTCCCGGTCCAGTCTTGTCTGTACAATCCCCATTCAGGCCCGGTTTAGGTCTCAGTTCAGTCCCGGTTCAGTCCCGGTTCAGTCCCGGTTCAGTCCGTTCAGTCCGGTTCAGTCCCGGTTCAGTCTAGGTCTGGGTATCATTAAGAAGTTGCCGTGATGATACATACCTCGATACACAGGCCACGATACGATACATATCTCGATACAGTGAGCTTTCGATTCGATATATATTTCAAATTGATTCGATACAGTTCAATAAAAAATAAAGGCTAAATCATGGCTGTGATACTAAAAGTCTTTCTTAAACCACGTCTTGTGCAAAGTTCATATGAAACACAAACATTTTAATCATCAAAACAGTAAAAATGTCAAATGTGTCGCATAAATTGAGTTTCCTTTCACTCCACAAGCAACAAAACTGTAGCTGTAACAAAATAATTTAGTAAAACACACCTAAAAATACTCTTGGTGAAATATCGATACAGTATTTCACGATATCGATACTGTATCATCACATTAAACGATACAATATATCGATATTCCGATATTTTTGCACACACCCCTAGTTCAGTCTGTCCCTGGTTCGGTCCCGGTTGAGTCCCTTCCTGGTTCAGTCCCAGTTTAGTCCCGGTTCAGTCCCATTTCAGTCCCTTCCTGGTTCAGTCCCAGTTTAGTCCCGGTTCAGTCCCATTTCAGTCCCTTCCTGGTTCAGTCCCAGTTTAGTCCCGGTTCAGTCCCATTTCAGTCCCATTTCAGTCCCATTTCAGTCTCTTTCTGGTTCAGTCCCAGTTCAGTCAGTCAGTCCTTGTTTAGTCAGTCTGGTTTAGTCAGTCTTGGTTCAGTCCTGGTTCAGTCGCTTCCCGGTTCAGCCCTTATTCCTTCTATTTCTCGTTCAGTCCTGGTTTAGTCCAGTCCAGTCCAGTCCTGGTTTAGTCCAGTCCTGGTTTAGTCCAGTCCTGGTTTCAGTCCAGTCCTGGTTTCAGTCCAGTCCTGGTTCAGTCCAGTCCTGGTTCAGTTCAGTCCTGGTTCAGTTCAGTTCAGTCCTGGTTCAGTTCAGTCCTGGTTCAGTTCAGTCCTGGTTCAGTTCAGTCCTGGTTCAGTTCAGTTCAGTCCTGGTTCAGTCCAGTCCTGGTTCAGTCCAGTCCTGGTTCAGTCCAGTCCTGGTTTAGTTCAGTCCAGTCCTGGTTCAGCCCAGTCCTGGTTCAGTCCAGTCCTGGTTTAGTTCAGTCCAGTCCTGGTTCAGTCCTGGTTCAGTCCAGTCCTGGTTCAGTTCAGTCCTGGTTCAGTTCAGTCCTGGTTCAGTCCTGGTTCAGTTCAGTTCAGTCCTGGTTCAGTCTAGTCCACATAGTCCCGGTTCGGTTCAGTCTTGGTTCAGTCCCGGTTCAGTCTAGTCCTGGTTTAGTCCTTGTTTAGTCTAGTCCCTACAGTCCTGGTCCAGTTTTCTTGTTTATCTTTCCTCAACTAGTCCACTAATTGGCACCATTTTCATCCACTTAGTCCCGAATTTAGTTAGTCAACTTTCAAGTCTATGTTTAGCCCAATACTCGTCCTTTGGCACAGACATTTTTAGGTTATTTTAGTCCCAAATCATCACCGTAATTTTAATTTTACGTTTTCCCTCCGATCTCCAAAAACCAAAACAATTCCAACCATCACAAAAAAAAGACTCCTCGTGCAATTTTTGGCACATTTCGGCGCAATAAAACTCACCGACGTGTTTAAAAAGCGATAAAAGGAGCCACCAAAATTACGCACGGAGGAGCCGGAGAGGTGTGAGCCGTGGGAAACGAGCCCAAAACTCTGAACGCAAATGAAAAACAGATGCGCTGCACAAAAAGTCTCCAAAAAACCGACCCCAAACTACGCCAAAACGTGACAAAAACGCGATCAGGAGCGTGCATTTCCGCTTAAATCGAAAGAAAAGTATAATATTTTGCTTAAATGTTTCGTTAAAAGCAGTCGTAAGGAGCACGTTTTCCCCCACCGGTCAAATTCAAATCACGTCGCCGGGCGGAGTAGCACCAAACGCGGCTGCGGCTCGGACGACGCCCCGCCGGACTCTACGGAGGTTCTGGAGGGACTTACTTTACTGTGGCTGCAGCCCATGTCCGCGGGATTTGGGCCGGTCCTGAGCGGGTTCCGGGGGGAAGTTCTGAGGGTGTCGGTCCGGAGGTGGAGGTTTTAGAGAGGGGGGGGTCCTCGGTGCTGCTGTCCCCGGAGCGTGAGTGTCTGAGTCCGGGTTTGTTTGACAAGTTTGAACCGAGGCTCCGGCGGAAGGAGAGCGGCTGGGGGCGGGGCTTGTGTGCCGAAAAGCGAGCGCTGTGTGCGGCTGGAGGCGGGCTCTGAGCGCGGGGGGGGGGTGATGGTGGTTCTTTGTTCCTATGGCTTTGTTTTTTTGTCATGTAACTACTAAAAATCCAAACTCGATATCGATATGGGATAGATTCAAAGGCAACGATACCGATTTCGATACCATGACGATAATTTAAAGGTCCTATATTACACAAAACTGACTTGAAGTGAACTTTAAGTCGTGTTATAATCAGTGTTGGGAAGGTGACTTTTAAAATGTATTCCCCTACAGATTACAGATTACATATCCCCAAAATGTAGTTTGTAACGTAATTCATTAAGTTACCTAAAGTGAGTAATGTAATCTGAATACTTTGGATTACTTGATTTGCTGCAGAGAAGCAAAGACTAAGATATCGCAACATAAGATGGTTTGTCTGATAAAAGAAAATAAAAGCCCAGACTTTACTTAACCAAATTAAAAAACATTATTGATAGAAGAGGAGGAAACACATCCACGCAGCATGATTTAGTCCTTTTAAATCCTGTTTTAGTCCTGTTTTAGTCCTGGTTTAGTCCTGATTTAGTCCTGGTTTAGTCCTGATTTAGTCCTGGTTTAGATCTGGTTTTAGACCTGGTTTTAGACTTGGTTTTAGTCCTGATTTAGTCCTGGTTTAGGCCTATTTAGTTTAGATCTAGTTTAGTTTCCAGCAATGAGTGGAATTACTGAAAAAAAAAGGGGGGGTGTACCCCAAAATGTGAAAATACCTCTGTGTAATCCATTTATTTCAACAAATAACTGTAATCCAATTACCACTCACTGAAACAGTAACTGTAACTGAATACAGTTACTCATCATTTGTACTCTGATTACGTAACTCCAGTACATGTAATCTGTTACTTCCAACACTGGTTAAAATGTTGTTGCCTCATCAAAATAAAGTGACCACATGATCCCAGTTTTTCGTCCTGTGTCCCCTGTCCAGCAAATTTATCCAAAACCACTGATGTGTCCCAGTTTTATACAAGAAATGTCCCAAGTGTCCCTATTTTTGACCAATTTGATACCTGCCAGGCAGTGGTGGAGTGAGCAATTTGGGGGCCCTGGGCGAACTTGAGTTTGGGGCCCTCACTATAATGCACTTTTTTTTTTTTTTTTATTTATTGTCTGTTTTTCCCCATTGTTCCTGAGACATGCACATCTCTATTTATGTGAATTATGGAGGATTGGAAGCTTGTTTTATTAGTTCAGTCGCCTACTAGAAAACCAGAGCTGAAAGTAGTTTTATTTTTTTGCTAGTACAATTATGTTTTTGTTTACATTCCTTACATATGATTTGTATTATTTATTTTTTATAATTATTGTTTAAAAGTAAACTACATTCTTTTAATGTTATATTGAGAGAAAATCAAATTGCTCTGAGGCCTCGGCCATTAGTGGCACTGAGGGCAGTTGTTTGGGGGCCCCTCCAGGTTTGTGGGCCCTAAGCAGCCGCCTACTGTTGCTGTGACAAAGTGGGCCTTTGTCTCATTTTAAATTCATGTTAGTTTATGTTAAACATTTTATTTTGAAAGGAGACTTGCTTTGCTTTGGGAGTTACCAGGAAACCGATTAGGGAGAGACTTCTGTGCAGGTTGTTTGGTGTTTGCTGATTTGAATCATTTATTTTCTGTTTTTTGTACTTTATTTGAGCCTACACCGGAAGTCTGTTTTAAAATAAATTTTGTCTGTGCAAAGACACTTTTTTTTTTGCTGCATCTGCCTCCTGCTTTGACCACTTTGGCCAGTTTCCCCACAGTTGCCTAATGGTAGCAGTAAAAAGAGGCATAAATTGTCATTTATTTAAGTAAAATACAGAAATGGATACTTAAAAATGACCAAAACACAAAGAAAACCTGACGATACTGACTCACGTGTTAATCATGAATAGGCCAAGCGTAGAACAGTTTTCTTCAATTATGCATTCGCTTCACAATTTTTTTATTACCAACCATCACAAATCGGCCGTGTCCCAGTTTTTCATTTTGAAAATCTGGTCACCCTACATCAAAAACACACCTGGAGTTATTTTGACGTCCCTTCATGGAATAAAGGACGTTTAATATATTCAGTTGAAGTGCCTCGGGCTTGTACCTCGCCCACTTTTACATTTTTCAGTATAAGGGTCATTTTCTGTTTAATCCTCGCAGACCTGTACTGCTTTTTTAAACTTTTTTATGACCCAGTGAAGCGCTCAACCTCTTTTCTTCATCTGTCACCTGGAGATGTGTTTTGTTTTTTTTCATTCACGTTTGAGTAACTTTTTATTATTACTCTGTTTACATTTCCAAATCTTAAAATACACTGTTCCACCTTGTGATGTCATGAAGTGGTCGTTTTCTAGTTAACGGCAATTTCTTTTACTGTCAGTTTTAGTAAATTAAAACTTAAGTCAGGTTATTCATTTTGTTTTAAGATTTATTATCAACTTTTAGTTCTTTTAGTTCTGAGCAGCTTGTTTATAATTTTCTTTGAGAGTCTTTCAGCACTGTTGAAGTTTCCTGTCTAGAGGTAATTTAACGACCGACACGTCATTTGACCCTTGGTCTGCTTCAGTCGCGCCATCGCTGAAAGAAATCTCCAAGAATCAGCTCTTCTCTTCTTCTTTCAGCGACCTCAAAAACCGGCTTTCTTTTGCGGCGAAATGGTCGCGACGAATCTGTAATACAAGGAAACTACAGTTTGAAAAAGCCTCGAAGAACCGCTGCATAAACCACATAATCCCTGCGCGTCGACGAGTCACTTACACTAGGGAGTATGATTGACAACCTAACAGCCAATAGATAAAGAGGGAGCCTCGTTTTCTATTGGCTGATGTTTATTCTTTTTGTTTTTTTTTTTTTTTTTGGTCATTATAATTACAAAGCTGCTGCGTCTCTCTAATGGTATTTTAAACTTTCATTGACAATTTGAAACAAAAAAAAAAAAATCCTCCTTACAACCTTTAACAGCTACTTTTTTACCTTTAGTTCAGTAAATATTGGCAGTTTCGGGGCTGAAATTATCCAAATGATTCTCGTGAAGGTGAATGAAGTTTAAAAACACAGTGGATGAAAGAACTTTTTTCTGTTTTGAGAGAAGAACTCTGCTTAAATCTGCAAAGTTTGTGAGTTAAACATGTGTGAATAAAACACAACTCCGGGTCTGTCTGTGAAGAGGAAACAACATTACAACGAAACAATAGATGACAATTTTCAACGCAAATGAACCATAACCTACTGTTGGTTTAGTTCTGCTAAACCTCAAACACGTGATAGTTCAAATTTTTTGTGTTTCAGACGATATTCAATTGCAATTTTTCAGATTCTCGCATCAGTGTGATACAGATACTTAAAATGTTCAGTACTTTAAGACTTTTATTAGGCCTGTTTTTACACCAAGGAGGCAATTAAGTCAGTGTCTTGCCCAAGGACACAGCAGCAGCATTGGGATTAGTTCGAGTTTGTTGCCACATGAGCTGAACGGTCTGACATAAGCTCTACTAATTCAGAGCTTTAGAAACCAATGAATGAGAACTGTGAGTTTAAGCCTTTCTAATGTTGTAATTTAATTAAGGCTAATGAAGAAATGTGAAATAAAAGTCTGTTAATAAAAGTGTAAAAACATGGTCATATGAGGCAGACGATAAAGTCACAAGACCAGTGTTATTTTTCTAAACAGGCCCAAGAGGAGAGAGGGGATTTCTACGCTTGAAAATATTAAAAAGACCTGTGTTTTCAGAGCTTTTTAAAGGGTTATACTATGTTTTTTTCTGATCTGTTATAATGTTTCCTCGTCACAAACAGACCTGGAGTTGTGTTTTGTTTCATTCACGCATGTTTAACTCACAAACACCTGCAGATTTAGGTTGAGTTATTTTCACAGACGGAAAACTCTCTGTTCCACCTTCATATTTTGCAGTGACGTCACGCTGGGGGTGTTCTGCCTGTGTGTCTAGGCAGACTGTTCAGCAGCTACCGCGGTGACACAATGCACACATTAAAATTGTCTGAAAACTCAAGAAAAAATACAGAATGGATTTTTTATGTAGTTGAGCATAAGATAAATATTCGTAAACTCTCGAATGAGTCCAGTCGTTCATAAAATGTGATGCGTGTATTTTATCTGTCAGAATGTGGATTGAAAAGTTGCGACATCAAGAATTACAATCACGAAATGAAAATTTACAATTATGCCTCGACTCGACTGTCAAAAATACATCATCACTTCACAGGCATTATTTATTGAGCAGAATAAACGTCGATCGAGATGCTGGACTTTTGCAACGCATACGGATTGAACCAGGGCTGAACCAGGACTAAACCAAGTCTAAACCAGGACCAAACCAGAACTGAACAAGGACTGGACCAGGAGGATTAAACCAGACCTGAACCAGGACTAAAACAGGACTAAATTAGGCTGAATATTTATTTTATGCTCAACTACAGCCAAATATGAATGGATTTCCCAAATATGCACGGTTTTCTATCCTTTGCGCATTAATATTTCTGAAAGCTTTCTTACTCCATAAAATTTTATTATAACAAAGTTCAGATGAAAGTCAAACTTGAGCACCAGGACTTCAGACAGAGCAGTGCCTCCAGCTGCAAAATATCAATACTTCAATAAAAATACTACTTTACTTGCGACTATAAGTAACCACTGTCCTCTGGACCTGCACTAAACCCAGTCTACACAGGACTACAGCAGGACCAGGTCTGGACCAGGTCTGGACCAGGTCTGGACCAGGTCTAAACCCGGCCTGATGACATCACAGTGTGTGTGGTTCCCTCCCAGGTGCAGGAGAACAGCAGCAGCTGCTGTGGTACATGGAAAGTACTTCAAACAACAACTGCTCCTGCTATAAATATACTCTCACTGCATGCCTCTGTGGGAAGACTACTGCGTACACACATACTG